GTGGCACTGCCAAGGGGCACCGTGTGGCACCAGTGACCCGTCCCCAGAGCCCCCCCGAAGGTGGCACCGCTAGGGGACAGTGCGGCACAGGTTGAGCCCATCCCCAAGGGATCCCCCGTATGTGGCACCCCASGGGGACACCACGTGGCACTATCCCCAAGAGACCTTCCCCACCCCGCACGTGGCACCCGGGGGACACAGCGYGGCACAGAGCGCCCCTAACCCCAAAGGAGCCCAGCACGCGGCACATCCAGGSCACACGGCGTGGGGCGACCCCACGTCCCGCTCCGAGAGCACCGCAGCGCAGGGTGCCCGCGACAGAGGGGACGAGGGGACACCCCCCCTCACCTGCCACCAGTTGGGGTCGTCCTGGTTGACGATCTGCAGCAGGTCCCCGGCGGCGAAGCGCAGCCCGGCCTCCTTGCAGGGGATGAGGCTGTCGGCGCTGGGCTCGTAGTCGAAGTGGCACTTGACGAAGACCTGGGGACACCGGCGCTGAGCGGGGCACGCGGCCCGGCGGGCGAGCAGGCGGCCAWGCACACACACGTGCAGCTGGCCGCACACCCAGCCGCTTGCATGCAYGCTGCTTGCAAGACGCATGCGTGCACGCGTGCACACGCGTGCTTCCATGCTCCTCGCACACATGCATGCACACATATGCAAGCCCCTTGCATGCATTCACATGCTCCTTGCATGCATTCACACGTATGCACGTCAACTGCATGCAATACCACTTGCGTGTTCCTTGCATGCGTGCACACACATGCATGCCCCCACACACATGCTCCTTGCACTCACGCATACACACACACCTTGCACACGTGCATGCAGGGCGCACACCCCCCTCCTCAGCACGCGCATGCACGCGTGTGACCCTCACTGCACACTTGCCACTTGCACACATGCAGCGTACATTTACACGCATACAACATGCACAACATGCAAAGCACCCGTGGGCACTCACCCCACACACCTCAGGACCCACGCGCCCGCGCGGCCACGGCACCCACGCAGGCGCGGGCTGCAGCCAGGCACACGCAGGCGGCCCCCACGGCAGCGGCCGCGCACCACAGGGCCCCCACGCACAGCCCTGCACCCAGGTACAGGCACACGCACACGCTGAGCGCCGCCGCCGCCGCAGAGCCCACGATGGCACACATGCGTCCGGCCGCTGCACCGCGCGCCCGCACCCTGCGCGCCAGCACAGTGCACGCCTGCACCTTGCACACTTGCACCCAATGCACGCTTGCACCCTGCACACTTGCACCTCACACACTTGCACCCAATGCACTCAGACCCTGCACGCTTGCACCCAATGCACACTTGCACCCAATGCACTCAGACCCTGCACGCCTGCACCTTGCACACTTGCACCCAGTGCACGCTTGCACCCTGCACGCTTGCACCTCACACGCTTGCACCCAACGCGCTCAGATCCTGCACGCTTGCACCCTGCACGCTTGCACCTCACACGCTTGCACCCAACGCGCTCAGATCCTGCACGCGTGTACCCTGCACACTTGCACCCAATGCACACTTGCACCCAATGCACTCAGACCCTGCACGCCTGCACCTTGCACACTTGCACCCAATGCATGCTTGCACCCTGCACACTTGMACCCAATGCACTCAGACCCTGCACACTCACACCCCACACACTTGCACTCAATGCACCCTTACACCCCGCACACTTGCACCCAATGCACTCAGACTCTGCACACTTGCACCCTGCACACTTGCACCCCATGCACGCTTGCACACCACAMACTTGCACCCAATGCACTCAGACCCTGCACACTTGCACCCTGACCCTCACGCAACAGCCACTTGCACCCAACGCACTTGCACCCAGCGCCCCCAGTGCAGCTGCTGGTGACGTTCCCGGTGCCAGGCAGCGCGAGGACGGCTGCACACAGACRTCCCCTTGTCCCCGCGGGGCGCCCGCGGCGCTGGGCGCTACCTGGCGCGGCGGCGGGTGCTCCTGGTAGCTGGGCAGGATCTTGAGCAGGACGCTGCCGCTGGCAGCGCGCAGCAGCTCCTGCAGCGCCCGCGCGTCGCTGCCCACCGCGCGCCCGTCCACCTCGCGGATCACGTCGCCCACGTGCAGCAGGCCCTGCTGGTCCACGGCGCCGCCGTGCAGGATGCGCGCGATGACCAGCTCGCCCCGCTCCACGCGGAACGTCACGCCCTGCGCCCGCGGGGACGCCGAGGGGTCAGGGCCGGGGGTGCCCAGTGCCAGGGCCGCGCGCGCGCCGGGGGCACCAGGAGCTGCAGCCTGCGAGGTCCTGCACCCTGCACCCAGCACTGCCCCTGCACCCAGCAATGCTCCCAGCACCCACCCACGGTCCCTGCACCCAGCACTGCCCCTGCACCCAGCAATATCCCCTGCCCCTGGCATTGCCCCTGCACCCACCAATGGTCCCAGCACCCTGCACCGCTGCCAGTAGCACCCACCCATGGTCCCTGCACCCTGCACTGCCCCTGCACCCAGCAATGCTCCCAGCATTCACCCATGGTCCCTGCACCCTGCACTGTCCCCCTGCACCCAGCAATATCCCCTGCCCCTGGCATTGCCCCTGCACCCAGCAATGCTCCCAGCACCCACAATACCCCCAGCCCCTGGCACTGCCCCCTGTACCCACCAATGCTCCCAGTACACAAAACATTCCCAACCTCTGGCATTGCCCCTGCACCCAGCCCTGCCCCTGCACCCAGCAATGCTCCCAGCAGCACCCACCCATGGTCCCTGCACCCAGAACTACCCCCCTGCACCCAATAGTGATGCCTGCACCCAGCCCTGCCCCTGCACCCAGCAATAACCCCAACCTCTGGCATTGCCCCTGCACCCACCAATGCCCCTGCACCCAGCACTGCTCCCTGCAGCACCCACCCATGGTCCCTGCACCCAGCCCTGCCCCCTGCACCCAGCAATATCCCCTGCCCCTGGCACTGCCCGTGCACCCACCAATGCTCCTAGCACCCAAAACACCCCCAGCCCCTGGCACTGCCCCTGCACCCAGCAGTGCCCCCAGGCCCCGCTCACCAGGTGCTCCCCRGCCGTCTTGCGGATGCCGACCATGCGCACGGCGTCGGGGGGCACCGGCTGGTTGCTGAAGGCGGCATCCAGGCCCGGGCTGGGCGGGGGGGTCTCGTAGCTCTTGGAGGCCACCGAGTCGTGGGTCTCAAGCAGCGACTGCAAGGCCAAGGCACCCGCGCTGGGCACGCGCATGCACGGTCGGGCACGCTTGTGCACACTTGTGCACGTTCATGCATGGTCAGGCACGCTTGTGCATGCTCCTCTACACTTGTGCATGCTTTGCATGCTCCTGCACACTTGTGCTCGCTCATGCATGGTCAGGCACACTAGTGCATGCTCCTGCACACTTGTGCATGCTTGTGCACACTCATGCATGGTCAGGCATGCTTCCGCACGCTCCTGCACACTTGTGCATGCGTGTGCATGCTCATGCATGGTCAGGCACGCTTGTGCATGCTCCTGCACACTTGTACACACTCATGCATGGTCAGGCATGCTTCCGCACGCTCCTGCACACTTGTGCATGCATGTGCATGCTCATGCATGGTCAGGCATGCTTGTGCATGCTCCTGCAAGTGTGTGCATGGTCCTGCACACTTGTGCACACTCATGCATGGTCAGGCACGCTTCTGCATGCTTCTGCACCCTTGTGCACGCCTGTGCATGCTCCTGCACACATGTGCACGCCTGTGCACGTGCCCCCCCACGGCACCTGGAAGTGGGGCTCGCGCAGGATGCGGGCCAGCTCGGCCGCGGCGCTGTCCTGGCRCGCCAGGTGCCCGATGTCCCGCAGGATCTCCTGCACCAGCTCCACGTTGTTGTCCCGCACGGCCTCCAGCTTCGTCTCCTCCAGACGCTCGTGGGCCTGGCGGGCAGGGGGATGTCAGGGCCCCCCACCATCGCCTCCTGTCCCCACGCCAGCCTGTCCCTCCAAGCCAGCACCAGTATAGACCAGTCTGCCATGGGAGAGGCCCCAGGACAACCCAAAATGCAGAGTGGGAGTCCCCAGCCCAGGCCAGTCTTGCACACGCATGTGAGCTCGCCCTTTTCCACGTGAACACCTCAAATGCAGCCAGCGCCCGTGCACACACGTGTGCACATTGCCTTGCACGTGCACCCACCAGAATGCCGCCCCGCCACCACCCAGACCCCCCTCTTTGCACATGTGTGTGCACCCAAGGGCGCACGCAGGCACCTTGCACCCGCACTGCGGGCACGTGTGTGCTTGCACACCCACCTGCGTGCCCACACACCCGCACAAACACCCAGCATCGTGCACCTGGGTGCACGCAAACATTCGCACACACGCCTCACTCTATGTGCATGCATGCATTTGCACGCACACACGCTTGCACACGCCTCCGGCACCCAAGCACCCATCCCTGCACACACCTCGCGTGGCACCCCGGGGTGGGGGGCAGCCCCCCCATGCCACTGTACCTTCGCCAAGGACCTTACTATTGGGCTCTCCATGATGCCGCGCAGGAAGATGAGGTCCAGGTCGGCGGCCACCGGCGAGTTGGGCAGGGCCATGAGGTTGTCCAGGACCTGCTGCATGGCTGGGGGGGGCGCGGGGGGCAAGGGGGCACATGGGGGCGCAGGGCCACGGAGGACGGGGTGCAGAGCAGGAGAGAGCGGCCACAGGGCRCAAGTCAGAAGTCACCGGCAAGGGGGGAAATGTGATGGCCACAGGGTGTCCCCCCACCCCAATCACGATGTGTGCCCCTCCTCGCTCTGCCACCCTGGGTGATGGTGCAGCCGGGACCGGGCTGTGCATTTCCCACGCACGGCCCGGGACATGCACCCGGGGGGGCAATTAAACCGGGGGGGTTGCAATTCACCCGGGGTGGGGATGCATTACACAAAGTGGGGTGCACTTTGCACAGAGGGGGTGCCATGCAAACAGGGGTTGCAGTTCAGCTGAGAGCTGCACCGGTGGGCGGGTTGCAATTTAGCCGAGGGGTGGAATTAAAAGGTCCGGGGGGCAGTGCAGGCGAGGGGGACGTCGCGTTACAGCCAGGGCTTGCAGTCCAACCACGACAGAGCAGGCAATGCAGCCGGCTGTTGCAACGCAGCCAGGGGGTTGCAGAGCTGCTGGGRGGGCCAATGCAATGCAGCCTGCAGAGGGGAGGCAACCCAGAGTGTCCCCCCCCCAATTTGGGAGGAGGGAGGTTGTCGCAGCATCACCCGCAGCCCCCCTTCCCGCATCTCTCAGCTCGCAGCCAGACCAGCGGGGACCCTGCACCCCCCCCCCACCCCAGCATGTCCCTGGGTGCTCCCTGTGTCCCCCCCTAACCTCCTACATGGTGGGTGGCCCGGTGGCAGCCGGGGGGGCGGCTGCTCGTGGCTGCGGGTGGCGAGCGCAGCCTCCCCCGCCGCCACCTCCCCAATCCGGGTACCACGGGCTCCTTGCACGCGCGTACGCGTGTGCAAACGTGTACCGTGTGCAAACGTGCAGCGTGTGCAAACGCCCCGTGCATGACGGGCAGCAGAGCCCCCCCTGCTTGTGCCCCTGCATGTGTGCACGCCGGCGTGCAGAACTGCTGCGCAAGCATGCACACGCGTGTGCACACACGTGTATGCCTGGGGGAGCTCACGTGCGTGCAAGCCGTGGGGAGGATGCCCATGGACAAGGATGCTCGAAGGGGAGCGTGCATCCCTGCACACGCTGAAGCACTTGTGACCAGGGCCACATGCACAAACCTGCACACGTGAACACACCAGCGCTCACGTGCTTGCACACACATGCACAGCCACATACATGCGCTCTGTCATGCACATGCACCCTTGCACGCTCGCACACACGAAAGGCCTCGAGCACCAACATGCGCAGGGATGTGCACAAACAAGCCCGTCGCCCTGCACGTGCACCAGTGCGTGTGTGCACGAGTCCGTGCTCACACGTGCACACACTCACGTGAATCTGTTTGCACKCATGCTGACACCCACACGCACCCATGCACACACAGCTCACATGTGCAAACACACAGAGGCCTTGCATGCTCTGCCTTGCACRCACACACACACACCCCTGCACGCTGTGCATGCTCTCCCCTGTGTGCAAGCACACGTAGAGCACGACCTGCCCTGCATGCACACCTATAGCAATGCACTCCTGCCCACACCCCTATGCACCCGCACCCTATGGATGCTTTCACACGCATGCACACACACGTGCCTTGCACTCCCCACGCGTGTGCACGCCCGTGCGAGCATGCACCCGCCCCCGTGCACGCTCACCCGTGGGAGCCCCCCCGGGCGCGCGCTCCCTTGCAGCCTCCCGCGGCGGGGGGCGCGGCGCCTTTAAGAGGGCGTGCGGGGGGCGAGCGGCTGGCGCGGGGCCGCGCGGTTGCCATGGCAGCCGGAGCGCCCCGGGCCGCGCCGCGCGCGGGGGGCGCGCGCTCTTAAAGGGGCCGCGCGCTCTTGCACGCGCGGGGGGGGGGCTCACGCGCACGCGAGGCGCGCGCCCACGCGTGACAGCGCGCAGCACCCCCCCGCAGGGTGTGGACCGGCGTGCACAGCACTGCCTTGAGCTTGCACACACATGTAAATGCATGCACGCGCATGCAAAGAYATGCAGGTGCATGCASRYGCATGCASRYGCATGCACACGCATGCACACCCACGCACACTCGATATTCCCTGCCATGCCAGCATCCCCCAGCCACAGGACTCCTTGTACCCAAGTTCCCCCCGCAGAGAGGAATCCTCCTGGTGAAAACCCACAGAGCGACGTGCAAAAGCAGCCTGCCCACACGCACAGGACGCACTCCGTGCACACGCGTGTGCCCCCCAGCACCGCGGCACGCGCTTACCCCCCTCGGAGCCGGCGGCGGCCGCGGGCATCTCTGCAGCGCGGCGCGGCGGGCCCTGCTGCTGGCCAGGCCCCCGCGGGCGCCTGGCACCGGCGGGGCTGCAACGCGCAGGCGTGCGGCGGCCGGGCCCACGCGTGCGGCCGGTGCGGGGCCCCCCCGCGGGGGCGAGTGGGCAGCTGCGTGTGCACCAAGGGGGCCCCCCCACACGTGCGCGTGGGCCGCGCGCTGCACCGGGCGCGCTGGGGCGCAGTCATGCACCCGCACGCGCTGCTCTGCACGCGTCCTGAGACTGCCTGTGATGCGGTGCATGCACAGGCACGTGCACACTTGCATGCACATGTGTGTGCACCCGTGCGTGCATGCACACAGGTGTGCACCTAAGCATGCATGTGCACGGCTAGGTGTGCACAAGCATGCACACATGCATGCACACACATGCATGCACACACGTGCTTCCCACGCACAGAATCCCCCTGCACCCTGTAACATGAGACGCTGGTGTCCCCAGTACACCCAGTGCTACTGTCCCCACTGCTGCTTGCCTAGACAATCCCCATTTCCCCAGTCTGTCCCCATCCCACCCTGTGCCCATTTCCCTCATCACACGGACAGGTGACGTGGTTGCAACAGTGATTTATTGCCCCAGGCGCCTTGCAGGCCCCCGGGGATGGGGACAGGGTGACAGTGGTGACAGTGACAGCGCTGTGACCCCAGGCTCCTCTTCACCTGACGGACCCTGGGGCCACCCTGCAATGAGATGGAGCTGAGGAGCGGCAGGGAAACCGAGGCACAGCCAGAGCGGCCCCAGGGCAGGTGGTCCCCGGGGTCCAGCCCCTGCACCCCTCACCTGGGGGGCTCAGCACCCCACTGCTCCATAGGGGTCCTCGCAGAGCACCCGCCCGACAGATCGCTTGCCGTACCTGCAGCAAGGAGGGGAAAGGGGGGCAATGGGGAGCATGTTGCTACAGGGAGCACGTTGCAATGGGGAGCATG